TGAGCGTTTCCTGGCATTGCAATTCAGTCTGAATTTGCAATGTACGGGCACCTTTAATGAGGATGACACTCCATACTTTACAGTGCATCTCCCCTTTATTATACCTCATTCAACTCTCTCAGCCGGCAGCCAGGCACAGTGCTGGGTGCTGGCTCAAAGGGCTTTCAATTGTCATTATCCCCTAGAACCATTTTTATGCTGACCTTGTGTTGTTTGCTGTCCTCATGGCTGAGAGAGGGACAAAGGGCACATCTGGCCCAGGCTGAGGAGATGGCCTAGTTATATTTCAGGTTGGGACATGGAAGGCCACTAGGTCTGACTGCTGGATTCCTTAAAGGGTTCCTCCCTCTTGTCTTACACAGGCCAGTGAAAATGAGGTAAAGAGGAAGAGCAAATGAAGGAGATTAGGAAACTATTGTTCATATTTATGTACCTTTTCTTAAAAAAAAAATCTTTGGAAGCTTTGGGTGTCTCCAGTCCCTCAAAAGACCAGGGAAAAAGGGGAATTTGTCGGATTACTTGCCCAATTCCTGGCCATTTGAGACGAGTTTGCTTACCTCGAGGAGCTACTGAGTCAACATTCTGCTTAATACAAAGGGGAAGAAACTGAGGAAGTGCGGACTCCGGGGGCCTCGTCCTGCAGGACGCGCGGCTGACCACCTTGGCGGTCGCTTTCCTTCCCTGTCCCGGTGTAGCTATGCCATGCTGTAGCCAGCAGAGGGCTCTGTCGCTACACAGAATCCGTTTGACTTCTTGGGGCGGGGAGAATTTTCAGAGCTATAAAAAATACTTGGATCCAGTAAGAAACATGCATGATTTTCCATGAAATATTAATGTGAAAAATACATTATTATTAAGAACTTGTGGATGTCTATTTGATTAATGACCCATCGAACCATGGAAGGAAAGAAGATGTTTCATAACTGTCGTTATCAAACATTAAAATAGCAAGAAAAAATAGCAATGTGATAATAAATATCATCATGATATACCTAAATTATTTAGGACACAAATAGGACTTTTTCATCTGGGAATGTGTGTGCTGAGACCTAGTAACAAGGAAGAACAGATCTGCTTTATCCGAAACATCTTCTTTTTGATTTTTTTTTATTTATTACAAACAAACCCTTTCATTAATAGCAGGACAGTTAAACGTAACTCCATCTCACCAACAAAATCTGCCATCTGAGGCCTTCTGTGATTTGCCTCAACAGACTTTTCAACTTTGTGCTTTACTATCCACTTCAGCCACCCTGTCTTTCGGCCTCATCTCATTTTGCCAGCATTTTCCTGCCTCTACCATGGCCTCTTCTTACTTCCCACGCATGTGCCCTCTTCTTCACACACTGGAAATCCTGCCCATTCTTCAAGGTCCAATTCAAATCCTGACTTCTGTGAGTGCTGCCAAGGCATTCACAAACGATGGAACACGGGGAACCAGATGGCCCTACAGTGGAATGTCATAAAGAAATCAGAATAAGTACAGGAAGGAGGCTCTGAGAGCTCTGGTCAGGACTTCAGAGCCAGCCATTGCTTCGGATATAGCCGGAGAGATCAGGGAAAGCTTCCCGGAAGAGGTGGTGCTTGAACTAGTGTTGAAGGTTAAGGAAATCTGGAGGATTGAAATCGCCCCTTATCTGGCTACCGTGCCGATGATGTCATGAAAGATCAGCCTGGGAAAGTAGGCAGGCACCATCATACTGAGGGAGGTTGGACGTTCTTCGATAAGCCACCGAGACTCCTGGTGCGGTTTAAAATGGAGGCAGTATTGGATTAGACCCGTAGTTTAGAAAGGTTGCTCGGGGGGGCAGTGCGGTCCCTAGGTTTGAATGGCAGGCAGACAACTTGCAAAGCTACACCATTCTTCAGATGAGGAAAGAGAAGGGCCTGAACCAGGGCAGATGAAGTAGAAATGGACAAAAGGGGGAGGATTAGGCCCCAATAACACATTGTTTGCAATTCTTATGGAATGTGTGGCTTTTTGCCTTCTATTGTGTTATATTTGCCTTCCCTGGGAGACTAAGTTCCTTGAGATCAGGGTTTTTTTCTCAGTTCATTTCTTTATTCCTCATCTCACATGGCCTTATACATGATCAGCATGAGTTGACTGAGGAGAAAATGTCTGAAATTTTTTATCATGAGGGTTTGCTTTTGAAATGCTCGATTTGGGCTCCTTGGGCTCAAAAGTCATCTGCGTGACAGCTCTACTTATCATCTTAGCAAACGCCTTGTGGGTAGTTTATACATTTTGAGAGAAAATAAGATTTCTCCTGGACCTCTCACCGTTGGCTACCATTTATGGGTATGAGACTTGAAAAGGTTAAATGATTCAGAGGGTCTGCACTTTTTGAGCTCGCTGCTTGAGTGTGTGTGTTAAGATTTGTGAAGGGGGAAACCGATCGCTCTGCACAGCTTGTATGACAGCAAACCCCTTGAGACCAACCGTCCTTTCAAAGCAGAGGCTGTGATGAACTCACCCCAGGTTGTCCAGACAAATCCTCACCGGGCGGGGCCTGTCGAGAAAGTCTTCCTTCTCCGTTGAAATGCCGCCGACAGAAAAAAACATCCTGAGATCCTCCTGCCCTTTTGGGTCCCTGAGCAGTGTGCACCTCAACTCAAAGCTCCATCAGTGAGGCTTTATTTTTCCTGAGAGAACATGCCGGGCATCCTTGGACTCACGAGGGCTAGAAGAATGATGTGACACCCTCAATCCTTGAGATACATGTACTTGAGAAGGGGTGCACGTGATTGCGTCGCTATTTAATAGCGTCCTAACAGCTTCCGGGCTCTGTACGGCTCGCAGAACTGAAAGGTAACAGGACATTTATTTCAGAGGCTTTACTCTTCACACTAGCTTGATGCCAGCATCTTACTAAAGTGACATATCCTTAGAAAGGGCACAGAACACAAGGCGAAACTCTGACCCAAAGTGAATGTTGTGGGTAGAAGGCACATTTTATCCTTTGAAAGTTGGTTGAATGAAGTTTTACCCAGGGATTTAGTTAAACATATAGTAGTTATTCCTCCTGCCCTGGGTGATCTGTTTTTATGCTCTTGTTTGCTCCTTATTTCCTTTCATACATCTCCATCTCTTTTTAAAAAGATTTTATTTATTTATTTATTTATTTGAGAGAGCGAGAGCGAGAGCATGTGCACATGAGTGGGGGTAGGGGCAGAGGGAGAGGGAGAGAGAATCTTCAAGCAGATTCCCTGCTGAGCACGGAGCCCAACGCAGAGCTCAATCCCACAACACTGAGATCACAACCTGAGCCAAAACCAAGAGTCAGACACTCAACTGAGCCACCCAGGCGTCCCCATCTCCATCTCCTGTATGGTATAGAAGAGAGTTGTTATTAGTATAATAAAGTTAAACAGTCCCCAGGTTCAGGTAATCTGGTTTTGGATAAAATTGCTATTAAATCTTCTGTTCAAGTTTGGTAGAGAAAAAGGAGACTTGGAAATTGAGTCTCATATCTTTAAACTGATATTGAGATTCAGGCTTCGTGATGCCTTAGTATTTAATCTATTGATTTCAAGCGAGGAAAATATTGTATTTAAAGTGATTTCGCTCCAGTGATCAGTTGTTTTTTAGTTGTAATTCTGAATCTTGTATTTAACCTGAAAAGCCACTGACACCTATGTGATAGTGCCCAAAATGTACCCATGAGGCATGGGATTATTACCTCATGCACACATGTGCGCACACACACACACACACCCATGCGCACACACTTTTTATTATGAGAATGTTCAAATCTACGGAGAAGTGAGATAGTGAAATGCATGCCCACCTACCACCCACCTGGATTGAACAATGGTTAACATTTTCTCATAAAATAAGTGACTAGTTATATGTGTATTTGCTTCAGCTCTCCCCCTCCCCCCAAAAAAAGTATTTGCCGACATTACCACAGTTCTGTTATTGTACCTAATGGAGTTAACAATAATCACCTATTCTCACCCAGCAGCCTACTCATATCCAAGTTTCTCCAGTTGTGCCAAAACTGTGAGTGACTGGTAATTCTTAGTGAGGCCACTATGGGAGGGTCAGAGATCTGAGAACTGGATATTGTCCCTCAGTTGACAGAAGGCAGGAGTATAGACTGGTAGCAGAACAGAACTTAAGCCAGCAAAATGTATAGTAGTTAATGATTCATTTGGAAACACTCCCCTCCTCGAGCTATACTGACCTCCAGAGAACATTGAGCCATCAACTGGAATCAACTTGAGCCTCCAACTTGGTCATCTTGGGGCTCTGACTCTACCAGAGCCCCTGTCTCTAGTATGGAGGGGAAATGCCATTGAGAGAGGCCTTCTGACACTCTTGTAGATGGACGCTCAGTTATTCCAAACACCATGCACTGAGTAGTCCATCCTTTCCTCATACCTTGAAATAATACCACAGAGCTGTAAAAATAATGAAGGAAAATATGTGAACATATTTTTATCATCTTAGGGAGGGGAAGCCTTTTCAAAGCAAGGCATGAAACATTTGACTACATAGAACATTTGAACCCTCTTTATGGCAAAAGACAAAGTTAAAAAGTAAATGACAGGCTCGGATAAAACGTTTGCAACATAGAGTTAAAAATAAGAGTTCCCTAATATGCTGATAGTGCCTATAAATCAGCAAGAAAAACATTCTAATGTGGGCAAAGGATATAAACAGACAATTTAAAGATGAAGAAATAGAAATGACTCACCATATGGAAAGATGATTAAAGAAATGAAAATTAAACAAAAATGAGCTACCTTGTTGTTCACCTTCTGTTTGGCACAAATTACAAAGATCGGTAATATTTCATGTTGGTGAACATACGGGAGAAAAGGCTCTCATCCACTGTTAGCGAGCATACAAATTGGTACAGCCTTTGTAAGGGCGATTTGGCATATATTATTCTTCTTCCAAATTTCTGTTTCCTCGCTAATGTAAAAGCTACTCAGGCAGTCTGCCTCTGTTCCGGGCTTCATTTCCTATTTTTGTGTCTGCTTTCTCCTAGATGGTGATATTTGTGCTTCTCAGCTCAGCCTGGTGGCCTAACCTTAACTCCCGAGTTCCATGGTCCTGTCACAACTGCAAGTCATTCTCATACAAACGTTGAGTTGACCTAGTGTGCACCTTTGAGAGTTTTGGAACAATATTCAAGTTTAAGTCACCATCATGTCATCTTGCTGACGATCTCATGGGACAAGACCAACACTGGAGTTGCTTGCTTCTGCCCTTGGTCTTCCACCTGTTCTTCCCTCTGCTGCCATTGATCGCACACACGTGTTGTCATACAAAAGCTGTTTTGCTTTTCTTTTTTCTCTTGTGAATGTTGTCCTTGGCTTCGTATACATCACAGATTAGTGTCGTATGCTGCACAGTGATCTAAAAACTTTCAATACTTGTAAATTTGCATAAGTTTGGGTAAGAATGGCATCCAAGCAGCAAAGCAAGAATACAGACGATAGAAATGCAAGAAGAGCAACAAGGGCAAGAAAAGGGATGTCTATAGCAAACAAAATGAAAGTTCTTGAAATGCTTGATAATGGTGAAACTGAGACCTCTGTAGGGTGTTTTTGGGGTGTTAATAGATCTATAATTTGCACAGTAAAGAAAAATGAGAAAGCTGTTGGGGCCAGTGTATTGAGGGGCACACCAGAATCATTGAGAAAATCATACATAGCTTGAAATGTCAAAGGAGAGACAATGGAAAAATTGGACATGGGTGGCTTCTAACGCAGAGAAAGCTGAATAGGCCTCCTCCTGTATGCATCATCTGCCAGTGAGCATCCCACAAATGCAAGTTTCAGTTTCGATCTGGACCAAACGTTGTAACATTCATCGCCAGTAATGGGTGGTTGGATAGCTTTGAGAAACGCTGTGGTCTGTGTGACAAGAAATGGCTGGCAGAGGAAGCAGGTCATGAAGCTGCCGCCAAGTATCCTGAATACCTGAAGAAGCTGAGGAAAATGGCTGTGTCTTCAGCGCCGATGAGCCGGCCCCGTGCCAGAAGCGCGTGCCTACTTGCACATCTATTGCAAAGGATGAGAAAAAGACCAGAGGCTTCCAGCCCGGAGAAGACAAGCTCAAAATTCTGTTTCGTTCCAGTGCTTCTGGCGACTTTTCGGGTTAAATCCATGTTGCTTCACAGATTCCGAAATCCTTGCCCTCTTCAAAAAGAATGCTAAAGACACTTTTCTGTTTACATGGAGGGAAACCATAAAATATGGGCCACTGAGAAACTCTTTTTCGGACTGGTTTTTGAAGTGTTTTGTTCCTGAGGTTAAACTATATTTAAACTGAAAAAATCATGAATTCAAAGTGTCGCTGATTCCAGACATGGCTCCCACTGACAAAAGTGCAATAGTAAACGCTGATCCTCATGTTCCAGTCATCTCCATTCCCCCAGGTACAACTCCACTCCTTCATCCCGTGCATCTGGGAGTGCTAAAAATTGTTCACGATGTCCTGGACTTGGCGTACATTTGATTTCCTCGCAGATCAGATGAGAGAGACCCCGGAACTTACTGTGAAAGTAGCTTGGCAAAATTTCTCCATTTGTAATGCTTTAACGATAGTAGAAGAATTGGTGAGAGAAATAACACAGTCACCCCCTAATGGAGCCGGGCAGCAACTTCAGAACGAGGTTGTAACGGACTGTGAAAGTTTTCTTCCAGTGGTAGAAGAAACTGAAAGTGTTGTACCATCTGCAAAGCATTTGGGGGGGGGGGCTGTAGGATTTGAAGACATTGAATGAAGTGACATTTTGCTGAACTGTTAGATTCTCACCCTCAGAAGACAGTTGAGACATTTTTCCGAAATATGATCATATCAAAAATTGATAGAAGAGGTCAGCTTAGGGTAACATCCAGAACTCGAAGAATGTTGAAGCAGCCCCTCTGCACATCAAATGGCTGTAGTGATTCAGAGGAAGGCGAGCCTTCGACGGAGTATTTATTGACCCACAGGCAAGATTTAAATGATTACCCACAACCCTATAAAGCAGTAATAAGAAACCTTCAAATGAAGGCCAATAAGTCCTTTCCCTCTGTTTGCTTCAACAGGGGAGAAGAGGCTGGACCTTCGGACCTCGTCATTCCAACCCTTTCCACAAACAGCTGGCAGAAAGGCGGAAGATGAAAGTAGTGCAGAAGACTGAGCTTACTTATCTCCAGACAAAACCCAAGTGTCTTGATTCTTCCCCCATATCTGCGTTTGCATTGACGCCATGATTGTCCTCACCTTGAGGTCAGAGAGAAATAGAAATTAATTGCCCAGTAATCACTACTGCTAATGTAAAATTAGGAAAATACCAACAAGCTTCAGTTTACTTGGTGTTTTATTTGAGGGAACAAACCAATTGTCTGGGCTGTCTTAATACTCCCTTGCCTGCCCCAGTTTTCCCCGAAAGCTTGTGAATCCCTCCCACACAAATTCCTCTACTTCGAGGGTTTCAGGAACTCAACTCTCATACCTAGGGAGGGGAGCTACTCTACTTGGCTGCACAATTTGGCTTTGTACTCTTGATCCTGAACTTTATTTTAATTCTGATTCAGCCTAACTTGTATTTCAACAGAAAGAATCCAGACCCTTGCCTTTTACCTGGTTTGGTATCAGTGCACTTGCTTTGCAGCGCTTGTGTGAAGTAGCTATTGGTCAGTCCCGAGGGGCAGTGCATTTAGAATGGACTCCTGCATTTACTTTGGTATCTAATCAAGGAGCTTGTAGAAGCTGCTAGAGTTCATTTCCATAGATCTTGTCTGTTCTCATATCTGGTCTTTGCGGGGATCTGAACATTTGACTATCCTCTGGGAAAGCAATTCTGACTGAAACTTCTTCCCTAAAGGTGGTGGAAATCAGTAATCCACCCCACCCCTAGCCTGGAGGTCTGAATGATGGGTTACCTATACCTGAGTTTGACGTGATCAGAGGAAAGGGGAAAAAATACAAAAGTTAAAAGGGCTTGCTTGCATAGTTACAGTTGAGATGACAGACATTCCTCAACAGGTTCAAAAGAGGCAGATGAGAGTCAAAAACTCATTTTCGGGTGCTGTGGATCTAGTGACCCCCCCACACACACACACAGTGCCAGAGAAGCTTACACGCTTGCTCTAAGCCATAGTAGTTCTCAACGCATCCAGATCAGGTTGGGGAGCTTTAAAAATTACAGATTTCTGGGACCTGCCCCTGGATGTGCTGAATCAGGGATGGGGTCAGCATCTGTTTATTTTGAAAGCTCCTCAACTGATTTTTTCATACAGCCGTAGTTGCCAACTGCTGTTCTAAGTCTAAACAGAATTGTACTAGAAAATACAATGCAAATGGTAGTGGGCCCAGGAGCTAGGAAACCTTGATTCCAAATTTTGACTCCACCACCAGCTCAATGGATGGTCTTATTCAAATCACCCTACTCTTTCCTTATCCGTCAAATGAGAGATTAGGACCACTTGGTCTCTAAGGTCCCTCTATCTCTGACACTGTTACCTTCAGAGAAAGCTGCATCAGTCTCATTGGTTGACTTTGAGTGTACCTGAGCCCTTTCACAGAGACCAAGGTAAGTAGTATTGTTGCTGCACTGTGTTCTTGATATTTTAAAAATTGTGCTTCTGGTTCAAGTTTGACCATGGTTTAGTCCCTTCCAGAAAAGCAAGTTAGGCACAGAAAAAAGAGAAACAAACATAGCATCAATTTCCTGAAAAGAAAGACAGAGGGGACCTCCTGTGAGTTTCTTATTTGTAATAATTGCTACTTTTCTTCTGAGTTACAGGGCTTGGGGCAAATAATAGATATTATGAGGAAAACACCTTAACATGTTGTATCTATTGTTTTCATAAACCAAAGCAGAAAGAACTCTGTCAGGGTTGCTGTTCCAAGGTTCCAAGGATAATTGGTGTATTCTTAATCATATCTAGAGGTAAATAGTTTTAAGTCAATGATTGTTTTACCAGTATAATCAGTGGTTCCATATGCCTTTAGAGAATGTGGTTTCCTGATAATTTTACCATCCATTGAGATTACTGCCTTGGCACTTTTTTCTCTTAATTTGACCAGAATTAGAGAAAGCAAATTTAAGTTGACGAGCAGCAACCGGGAACCATTAATAGAAAATGGTACAATGGGTAACTGACTATTATATGAGTTTAGTTGTCATAGGAATGCCTAGACTTTGGCTTGATAAGATGCAAACGTTTGCCTAGGGCCCAGGCCATTTGAAATAAATTATTGAGATAAATCTAATTCTTATTTAAGGAAATATCCAGTTAAAGTAGTCTAAGAAGTATCATCGATGAGGATAAAAGCCAGAAAATTTCAATATGGCTGAATTTAACAAGTGAGCAGAACTTACAGGCAGATTTGAAAGTTGGTATGGGCTAAGTGGTAGAAATAGAAGTGCATGGCAATATGGCCATGTAACTGGGTGTTTCTTTTTTTCTTTTTCAAATTAAGAATAGTCCCCAAAATTGACAAGCTGAAATTTCTTTTAGAAGATTTTACACACAGTTTGAGTGAGAAGAATTTTCCTGTTGTCAAATGGTTCAGGTAAATTCTTGTGTTCAGTATTATGAAGGTCATGGCAGTTTCTTCTTTACAGACATATTTAACCACTGGCAAAAAGAAAAGAAAGGAAAAGGAGGTGGGGAGAAAGAACAGCCCAAGTTGCTGAATTTTGTAGAGAGTATTAGAAAACCGGTATTACATTTAAAAAGAGGCTTTTGTTTGTTTAAGATCTTTTAAGTTCAAAATGCAGAGAAGTCTCTTTAAACCACACATTTGGATTACAGAGCTGCCACCACCTGAATGCTAATAAAGGGCTTCGAGGAGAGTGTGTATAGTGGAAAGGAGTGTGTGAACCATGTTTGTGCTATGGAATACACTAATCACTGAACTTTACATGGAGTTACCTTTTAATGGTCTCGATGTCAATGTGCTATGCTTGTTTACCTAAGAATCCAAAAATAAATTGTGGTACGAACAGAGTGTATATGTTCTTGGGAGCCATAAAATCCAATAGAAAATAGATGAAAGGCTAAACAGTACATTACCATGTACATTACCATGAACAATGAATGTTGAGGAATTACATATGAATCTAGTTGTGCTCGAGACATCGCACTTCATCTTTCTTGCATTACTATGTAAAGCCAGTGATATAATTAACCCGTTTTTGCAAACACCTAGAGTTGGCTCTTGGTCACTTGGCAGTGATGTGATGAGGACCATAATGAGAAGAACATGGGACTTAGGTAAGGGGGCTTTGCTACTTCTTGTCTGCTCTGGGCGGGGCACTTCCTCTCTTTGGGTGAGTGGTGCTTAGTCCTGGCAGGATAACCCTTGCGTTGTTGGGGTGTGACAAGTCAGCCTAGGGCCGAGGCTGTGGAATCAGACCTGCTTTCAGTCCTGTCCCTGCCAGCTACCAGCCATGTGACTGGGGACATGCCTCTTAACCATTTCAGACTTGAGTTTCTAATCTGTAAAACGGGGTCAAAAATACCTGCATTATAGGATTGCTATGAGATTATAAGAAACGCTTAGTACAGTGCCTGGCACATAGCAAGCGCTCAATAAATTGTTGCTATTATTATCATTATTATTATTATTAGCATCATAGAGCTAAATATGATAGTTTACTCCTGTCTTTGCAAAATTTTAATATTTTGATATTTTACCTAATTTCCCTCAAAAAATGGTAGCATGATGGTTTTAAGAAGAGAGAAGGAATAAAAATGGATTTTCAGTATTTTTCTTTGCTTGTGAAAGAGACCTGAAACAGTAATTCCTTTGTCCCTATGTTACTCTTTGACCTACAGCTTCATTTATATATGATTTACTTAGAATGCAGTTATCATTGCATGATATTTATTTATATAGTGGTTACTTTTAATGACTTTTTTCACATGGATGTATTCCTATTCTCTAGAAAATAATCCATCCACTTGGTTCCACTTTTGAGATAATGAGGTCACACTGTGTTAATAGGAGCTAAAGATAAAACTATGCAGGACCTACTTTGCTTAAACCACCAAGTTACTAGCTTAGCTGCCTTTGAGAGAAAATTGGGATATCCAAGCAGTGTTACTAGGTGAGGACAATTCCTCATAACTAGCTTCTGAACATCTTTGTTATTTCATGTATTCTGATAGCATTCAAGAAGTTTAAAATCATGCTTTTCAGCATGCTGAGTACTCATCATCATCCCAATGCTGGATCTGTAGAGAAATAGGGCTGTCACTGCCTTATCCCTGGGCCCCCATTACCACTTCACCTGGATGATCACGGAGGCCTCATAACTCACATCCCAACCCTTTTACTGTTTTAACTGGGAGACTTTCATGTCCTAGTGTGTACGTAGGTGTGTGTGTGTATAGATATATATATATCTGGTAGTCTTCAGCACTTTGCTGCTTGACAAACATTCCTTGTTTAGAGTTCTGATTCTGGTACTTGCTTGTTCAAAAATCTTCAGTGGCTGCCCATTTTCTGTGTATTCCACTACTTAACCTTTAAATCATGTCCTGGTCCCAGTGCGCCAGAACCGGTTTTGTCTGCCAGTGTTCTCTGTCATAGAATATATGTGATAGTCTGTGTCTTCCTCGGCCCCATCTGACTAAGCACTAAGGATCTTCAGCCTACAACTCAACCCTGATCTCTTAAGTTTCTCACTTAAGCTCTGGTGGGTAAGAACAGAAATTAAACTTCTTACCTGAAGCCAGAGTGCCTGAGATGAGACTACAAAGCTGTAGTCTCCTTCCTCTTCTCCTCTATCATTACAGACACCTAGAGGTGGCTCTTGATTAGTTGGCAGTGGTATGAGGAGTGCCCTAATGAGAAGAACATGGGAAATAGAGTGAGGGCTTTGCTACTTCTTGTCTGCCCTGGACTGGGGACTCCCTCTCTTTGGGTGAGTGGTGCTTAGTCCTGGAAGGATAGCCCCAATCTGAAAAAGTGCCTTTCTTCTTTAGTTTTCTTTTTAAGTTTCCAGCCTACCAAATTAGGGTATCCGCACTGAACCCTAGCCCCCCTTGCCTGGGGTCCTGGATGCTACCCATTTAATTTTGGCTCTGAATACAAATATCCTTATTGGGTCCCTGAAACAAGTAAGTGGAGACCTAAACTCTGTTCTTAGGTTCTTGCTAGCCTCATGTCCTGAGCATCATCACATACATAGTATGTTTATTTACCACTGGGCTTCAAAGTACTCTATCCATTCTTTTGCATGTGAGTGCTAGCCTGGAATGTACTTAATATACTTACTATACCCTAGATTTGGCATAAAGAGCTGGGCCTGGCAAACTAGGGCCCTTGGTTAAAATCTGGTCCAACTGTTTTTTTTTTTTTAAATAAAGTATTATTGCAACAAAACCATACCCACTCATTTATGTATTGTCTATGGCTACACTATAATGACAGAGTTGGATAGTTCTTCCAACAACTCCACGTCTTCCAATAGAAACCATATGGCCTTTAAAAACTTAACTATTAATAGAAAACATTTGCTGACTCCTAGCTAAAGCTAAGTAGTTCTCCAAGCCTTGATATTGCTTATTCTTTGATAATTCATCATTTCCATCCTGTCAAACAAATGGACCTAGAAAGCTAGTTCATTGAGACCATGAAAATAGGTTCCAACCCATTCAAACTACTTGCTTTTATTTGAATTTCCTGCTTCCTCTTTGTTGTCTTCCTAAAATGTCTTTTCTCTGTGTTTTGCTTTTTAGGGAAAGAGATGTCATAGGCATAAAGACTATTGGAGTAGCCTTATGATAGGTCTTTAAATGTCATACCAGGGCCTAACATGAAAGTCTTTCAACATCGCCAGTATCTGTCAACATGACCTTCTAGCATCTCTAAGATTAAGCCTTTCAATTCTTTAGTGTCTCTAACATCAGGTTTTCTGAGCGCCATAGCTTCCAACATCTCCAATTGCCAGATCTTCTAAATGTTAAAACACCCAATGTCTTCCACTCTCTGGCCTGAAGCATCTCCAATGCGGGTTTTCTAATCTCGATATGGGGGAAATTAAAAGTCTAGGTCTTCTACTTTCTCCAACAATCAGTCTTCAAGATCCAGGTCTTGTCTTTCTGGATCCAGAGTTCTAGGTTCTGATTTTTCTATGTTCCCAATCTTCCAGTGTCTCCTATATGCAGGTCTTCTAGAGTCTACGTGTTTCATTGTGTCCAAGTCCAGCTCTTCTAATATCTTCTAGTGCTTATATCATTCAGTTTGTACAACCTTCAGTGTCTCCTAAATTCTGGTTTTATAGTGTCTCATTATCAACAGTTCTACCATCCAAGTCTTTCAATATCTCCAAGAACTGGTCTCCCAATGTTTAGGTATTCCAACATCCCCAGTGTCTGAGGTAAAAAACCTAGGTCTTTTTACATCCTGACATCTTAATGTCCAAGTTTCCTAATGTCCAGGGCTGCCAACACCCTTGACTTACAGCATCATGAAAATTTCAACTTCCAAATTTTATGTCTTAACACAAATGTGTCAATACCCAGGTTTTCCAAATGTCTCCCAATATCCAGGGCTTCTGACTTAGGGTTTCTGAATGTTTAGATCTTCTGTTATCTATATCTTCCAATGTTTAAGGCTTCCAAGGTACAGGACTTACAATGTCTCTAGTATTCAGGGCTTCCAATACCCATGAATTCCAACATTCAGGGTCTCCAAAGTCTCCAATGTCCAGAATAACCAATGTCCACCAAATCCAAGGCTTTCAATGTCTCCAACATCCTGTGCTTCCAATGTCTCTAATGTCCAGGGTTTCCAATGGCGCCAGTGTCAAGGTCTTCCAACAACTCCAGGTCTTCCAGCAACTCCAAGTCTTCCAACAAATTCCAAGTCTTCCAACAGCATCAAGGTCTTCCAGCTAATCCTTGTCTTCCAGAAAATTCACGTCTTCCAGATAATCCACGTCTTCCAGTAATTATAGGTCTTCCACAAAATCTGTATCTTCCAGGAAAATCCATGTCTTCCAGAAAATCTATGTCTTCCAATGGTTTCAAGGTCTTCCAGACAATCCACGTCTTCCAGCAATTTCAAGGTCTTCCAGCCAATCCACGTCTTCCAGAAAAAACTATGTCTTCCACCAAATCCAAGTCTTCCAATCAATCCAAGTCTTCCAGCTAACTTATGTCTTCCGGAAAAATCCAGGTCTTCCAGGCAATCGACGTCTTCCAGAAAGAAATCCAGGTCTTCCATTCAGTCCACGTCTTCCAGAAAAATCTATGTCTTCCGCCAAATCCATATCTTCCGGAGAAATCCAGGTCTTCCAACCAATCCATGTCTTCCACCAATCCAGTCTTCCAATCAGTCCACGTCTTCCAGACAAAATTTATGTCTTCCACTAAGTAAATCCAGGTCTTCCGGTAAAGCCACGTCTTCCAGAAAATTTATGTCTTCCACTAAATCCAGGTCTTCCAGTAAAGCCACGTCTTCCAGAAAATTTATGTCTTCCACTAAATCCAGGTCTTCCAACAAATATACGTCTTCCTAGAGATCCACGTCTTCCGGAAAATCCATGTCTTCCAGTAACCTCCAGGTCTTCCAGCAAATCTACGTCTTCCAAACAATCCAGGTCTTCCAGACAATTCGGGTCTTCCTGAAAATCCACGTCTTCCAGAAAAGCCATGTCTTCCAGGAAATCCATGTCTTCCAATGACCTCCAAGTCTTCCAGAAAATCCATGTCTTCCATCAAATCCATGGCTTCCAGAAAATCCACGTCTTCCAGCAAATCCTTGTCTTCCAACAAAGCTGTGTGTCTTCCATCAAATTCATGTCTTCCAGCCTACCCACGTCTTCCAACAAATTTACGTCTTCCAGAAAAATCCACGTCTTCCAGAAAATCCACGTCTTCCAACTAAGCCACGTCTTCCAGAAAACCCTTGTCTTCCTACATCTCCAGGGCTTCCAGCATCTCCAGGGCTTCCAGCATCTGCTCGTCTTCCGGCATCTCTGCATCTTCCGGCATCTCTGCGTCTTCCGGCATCTCTGCGTCTTCCGGCATCTCTGAGTCTTCCGGCATCCCTGCGTCTTCCGGAATCTGCTCGTCTTCCTGCGTCTGCTCGTCTTCCGGCATCTCTGCGTCTTCCGACAACTACCCAGTCTTCCAACAGCGGGCTCAATATCCACGTCTTCCAGCGTCTCCAGGGTACCGGTCTTCTAACATTCAGGTCTTCCAGTGTCTACGATATCCAGGTATTCTAACATGTTCCATAGTCCAGGTCTTCTGACCTTTCCCCAGGTCCAGACCTTTTTAAAAGGAGTCTTCCCAAGTCCGAGCCTTTCCATGTTCAGATCTTTCCACAGACAGGTCTTCCAACACAAATAATCCTGCTTCCAATAGAATTAGCCTCAAAAAATTTAATAAGGCATTCCTTCTTATAAACCAGATTCTATGGATCAACTGTATTGCAGCTTAATAGTGTTTTTTGCTATTAGGATATGTGTATTTATTTACAACTTTTTAAGATGGTGTACATAAAACATCTATAAAATAAACACATCGATGGGATTACTGTGATAAATTTTGCTACTTTGCTAATGCTTATAGTGTTTATATAGTCAACTATGATTAGGTACAAATGAAATTCTTATTTTAATGAAAAAAATTCGTTTAGAGACTATTTATTATTTTAGATAATGTTAATACAGTGTATTTATCCATTTCTTATACTGCCAATTTTTGTTTGGTCTTATGTGACTAGTTAATAATAATAATAATAATAACAACAACAACAACAACAACAACACTTAACATAGCATTTGCTACATCCAGGCACTGTTCTAAGGTCTTTACATGCATCACCTCATTTAATCTTCACAAGAACCCACTGAGGTGTAGGTACTATCATCTCCGTTTTACAGATGATGAAACTAACACAGAGGGGAAGTAACTTGTCCAAAGGACACAACTAATAAATGAGAGAGCTAGCTAGCCTGTTGAACACAGCTAGCCTGTTGCCAGAGCCCATGATCCTAACCACTGTGCTATAATATCTGCTGTTGAAAGTGAAGTTGAGAATTATGGGATCCAAACTTGATTGCTCCTACTTTATGTGCAGACTATTATCAGATCTTACGTACAAATGGTCTTACTTTATCCTGTCACTATCAGAACCTATTTGTATTCACAGATCTCATTCCTCCACTAGCTACTATTATTCCCTTGCCCATGTATATGGAACTAGACACAAACACTTCCTAATACGATTTTCAGTTTGGGCAGAAATAATATAAGGAAGCACTGAGTTCAAGTACCATTTGCTTTAGAATCATTTTCACAATCCATGCTTTGAGTACTGGTGCTTGGAATTTGACTCTCCCATCTACTTTAATCCCTTATCACTGACCATTCTCCACTTTGCACCTTATTATCTAGACCAATAAACATTAGTTTGTTTCTGACCTCTAGGATTCACCTGTTTCTTCAAATATCACTGACCTCCTAGATTCCTGACCACTGCCTTGCATTCAGCTAATGGTAACTACAACTCCCTAACTCCCAGCATGCTGACCTAGAGAACTAACTACTTGGTTCTCCAAGTCTCAGCTCCTACCAGGTGCTTCCAGCAACATGGCTACCATGCCTCTGGCTGGCATGACAAACATCAAAGCTACATAATGAAATTATGGTTAGACAAGGAATCTCTAAGGATACAGAATCATCTACATAGTAATACAAATGAATCATCATAATAATTATTATTAAAATTGAAATACCTTCCAAATGCCTAGTGACTTATTTTGCAAAGTGCTGTCATTTCATCCATCATTCATCTACTCATTCATTCAACAAATATTTATTGAGCGCCAGCTATGTGCCAGGCATATTTCAAAGGAGCTTAAAATCACCTAGGGAAAACTGACAGTGTACAAATAATTGAACAATTATTTATCAGTTGTTGCAAGACCATGAAGGAAAAGTAGGTATAGGATGCTGTGAGAGTCTAGAAAGTGAAGGAGAGCATTCCTGAGGAAGAAACATTTATGGTGACTGAAGGATCTATTTTCTTATTTGATTATTAAGATGGATGTTTTTATATCAGTTTTACCTAATCAGGTTAAACAGCAAGTACTAACAATGGGCATGAGATCCATGTATTTTGACTTCTTTTTTTTTTCCCTACCACTCCATGCTGCCTTAAAATATATAGTAAGTACGGTTTGGACAATATATATGAAGGGATATAGAAATGTTGGTACTCTTTGACTTAGTATTTTCACTTCAGTGAATATGTTCAAGGAAATCATCTAAAATGTGGATAATTCATGCACAAAGATGTTCCTCACATAGTTATTTGGTATAGAGAAAAACAGAGAAGCCTAGGAGTCTAACTTTACAGGCATGATTAAGTAAATGTGCTATTTCCATGTGATGGCATATTCTTTCATTAAAATATTTATGGTATGTTGGTATTATATACTGTTAAGTGAAAAATCAGCATACAAGATTATATAAAGTGTGATTGCAATTATCTTAAATATATATAATCAGAGACAAATGACTAGAAATAAACACATTAGAGATTGTGAACTAATTATCTCTAGGTGGGTAAGATTATGTGTGATTTTTGTTTACTTCTTGGTGTTCCTTTTTTTTCTTCCAAAGTTCTTACAGTGTGAAAATATATTCAGGAAAAATATTTAAATGATTGTGCATAAAAAGTTCATTATTTATTCATCTTATTATAATGTAATCAAGTTTTACTGTTGAAAACACTTCAAAATAAAAGCAAGCAAAGTGAAAAAATTAAAATCTCAAATAAACTTAATACTTAGAGATAATTGCTATAAAGTTTTTGGTGTATGTGTTTCCACCCTCTTTCACAGACATGTTTATTCTCTTTTATGAAATGGAATTGTACTGCCATTTAACCTGTTCTTTCCACTTAACAATAAATTGTAAACATCTTTCCATGTCAGTAGCTGTGAGTCTACGTTCTAATTTTAATACATAACTTATTTACTTTAGCTCCTTTTGGTGGGCATTAGGTTCTTCCCAGTTTTTTTGTATTCTAAAAACTGCTGTGATGAGCACATACACTACACAAGTTGTGCAGAGCACAGACCGTGTCGTCCTGCATGGTGACCCTGCCCATGACTGTGTGCAAATTTGGTCAGCTATTACTTTTTTTTTAAAGATTTTATTTATTTATTAGAGAGAGAGAGAGATCACAAGCTGGGGGGGAAAAGGTAGAGGGAGAAGCAGACTCCCCGCTGAGCAGGGAGCCCAACACGGGGCTCGCTCCCAGGACTCCGGGATCAGGACCTGAGCCGAAGGCAGACGCTTAACAACTGAGCCACCCAGGCACCCCTAGTCAGCTATTAGGATAAATTCTTAGAGGAGAGTTGCTGAGTCAAGGGATATGTGCATCATGATGCTTATCAGAGCAAAAAAATTATAAGCAATCCAGACGTCCAACAATTGGGGATGGTTAAATAAAATTATGTGGTAACTATATGATGGAATAGTATGCAGCCATTTAAGTTTATACCACAGAAGAATATTTACTGAAATGGGAATATGTCCATAAGATCCCATTAGTGAGAGGAACAGGTCACATGAAAGTATGTATTATAATATTCAAATTTTTAAAAATGAAACTATATAAACGTCCTCAGAAGAATATACACTAATATGTTAATAGTGAAAGTCCCAAAAGGAAAATGGCTAAATTGTGGTATATTTAGACAATGTAATATTATACAACAGTGAAATGAATGAACTACTGCTAAACATAATCTGGGTAGATTGTACTTCTATAATGTTAAATTAAGGTATCAAGTCCCGGAAGACTACATATAATAGGATATCCTTTCTATATTACTCAAAAACAAGTAAAACTAAATGTTACATTATTTAGGTGTACATATATATTTGGGATTAAAATATTTTATTAAATAGCAAAGGAGAATCAAAAAATTCAGGATAATGGTCACTGGGGCTTAAGGGCTTGGAATAGGAGGGGATCATGGAAATGGATTGAAGTTCTTGTCTATATTCTAGTGCTCAGGTTCAGTGGGTGGGTGGGTGTTCATTATATAATTTATAATTTTAATAAATTAAAAGCATGCCATTGACTATTAATAATTGTATGAGTATTATGAAAATTAACTAAAATAATTTAATGGATAAAAATAAAAGAGGGCCATGCATAGATCAATGAGACTGTGTGCGTGATCTATGACAGTGTGCGTGGATTACTCATAATACAATTCAGTGCACTCAAATTTCATGAAATTTTCTTAAGCAGTTATCTTCTGGTGGTTGGAGTGCATGGGCTTTTTATTCTCCCGTGGCTCTTTATTCTCTAAATTTTCTATAGGGAAAATACAATATTATATTAATTGAAAAACAAGCCCTAAATTACATAGAGTAAGATCTCAAATACATTAAACATGCATAACAGGGACTGAAAAAGTATTGACATGTTAATAACAATTGCCTTTGTGTAGTGAGATTTCACATCATTTTTTTTATGCTTTCTTATACTTGTTTTTTAATCCAAATGTTATGGAGTAAGCTTACTTTTTTGTTGCTACAAAAGTAGCATATATTTATTATAAAAGTAAAAGTGCAGTAGTATATAAAGTAACAAGTGAAAGTATCCCTCTCCCAGTCCCGCTGTCCAGAGACAGCCATGCTTATTTGTTTGCTTTGTATCTTCCAAGTACTTTTTCTCTCTATGTGCTTGTGTCCTTGGTGTGTTTTATAAAATGAAACCATCCTATACATAGTATTCTACAACTTGCCCTCCCCACCCCCTGCTCCATAGAAAGTCATTGTTGTAATAGCTAGTAGAATGCCATAGTAAAGTGTACTATATAATTTACCCAACTCTTTCCACATGATAAATCTTTAGATTGTTAACAGTGTGTTTACTATTACAGATAATGCTATAAAAAGCATTCTTTTTAATCTATCTTTTGCTCATTTAGAAGTATTTTTACAGGCTGATACTGTAGAAATGTAATAGCTAGATCAAAGGATTTGAGCTAAATTGCCCTCCTGGCATGGTGGACACTATCATTCTTTTTAATTTGTCAGCATTTGGGATGAAAAATCCAATCTCATTC